ATATATATATATATATATATATATATATATATATATATATGTATATATATATATATATGTATATATATATATGTATATATATATATATATATATATATATATATATATATATATATATATATATATATATATATATATATATATATATATATATATATATATAGTATATATATATATATATATATATATATATATATATATATATATATATATATATATATATATATATATATATATATATATATATATATATATATATATATATATATATGTATATATATATATATATATATATATATATATATATATATATATATATATATATATATATATATATATATATATATATATACATATATATATGAAGACCTCAGTAGAAAAACCGGTGTTATCACATTTTTCTGATTTTGAGAAAATCAATTTTTAAAGTTTAAAACGCTTTTTAAAGTTTCTATTATACTCAAAAAATGTGATTTTAGGATTTTTATATTGAATAACTATATTTATATCGAATTATTTATTTAAAAAAAAAAAAAAAAAAAAATTTAAGATATTTTTTTAAGAAATTAAGTCTTACATTAATAAATGGACATCACTGCGTTTTTCATTGGAAACATTTCCCTGGCGTAATTACTATTTTTAACTACCCTCTTAACTTAAATAAAAACAATTTCGGACCCAAAATGTTCATAAGCCTCTTGCTTGTCTAAAAAAAAAAAGGCTCCCAAAAACTTAAGGGGCTTTAAATGAAGATAGACCACATTGCTAGCTTTTCTTATTTATCCTGCTAAAACTAATTAGGAAGTTGAAAATCGGATGTGTAGTAAGTTTTTTCAATAAAAACAAGCAATACAAAACTATTGAGAAACAATCATTAAAAGAAAATTATTTAATCTGTATCTGAAATTTCTGATTCGGAATCTGGTGTTCCTGTGTTAGTAGTGACTAGATTATCAAAAAAACTATGATTATCAGGTTTGCAAAGGCGCTTAAGAACCTGTAGGTCATTATATTTGGCAGCATTTATTGGCAAAACTGTTGGATAGAGATTATACTGACTTAGAGCAGTGTCTTTTTGATTCTTTCGTAGACGTTTTACCAACACAGTATTTTCGATATTGCGATTCCAGTTGTTACGGTAGAGAAGCAATGAAGGATGAATATCTTGAAAAACAAGTTCTCTGACTGGTCGAGTTTTTATCGGACATGTGCACTTATAATATTGTTTTAAGAAGTCCGAAAATCTCAAAAAATGTATATTTAAAAAGTTCACAACATTAAAAAGTGAAGGTTTTTTTCAATTCTTGAAAACCTGACGCCAATCCTCTGGGATTTCAACATCAGCCTTTATATTAACATTTACCATGTCACGATTACATTCCATATAAGAATGACCTCTTATAGGAAATGAAACTTTAATACACCTAAATCTTTTTTGATAGTGGACCATCCAATGCAAGAAACGAAACACAGTGTAGTTTTTATTCTGTCCTGCACATCCATCACAAAAGAAATGTAATTCAGAAACGTTGTCAGAAAGATGATTAATAATAAAATGATAAAGCATAGAGCAAACATCATCAGCTCCTTTTTTTCCTACTGTTTCATCATATGTGTAAAGAAAAACCTCATCACTTGATAGGATGTGAATATTAAATGAAAAAAATTTAAGCTGCCTTCGGTAATACACATCATTAGTGGATTTATTAGGCAATGGCAAATTCTTCTGAAAATCAAAAGCAATAGCTTCAAATGTGTCTGAGATTTTTGCTCTATTTTTTGGATCTGATTTTCTGCTATAAAATGAAGTTGCCTTTAATGTGTGAAGTTCATGCTCTGTTTCAAGATCTTTCTTTATTTTTTTAAGTTTGATAATGTCTTCATCGACGGCATTTAAAAGCTCTTGGTCATTGTGTTTTATATTTACAAAGAACTCATCACAAGCCAAGCAAGTGTCTTTTCGAGGAAAACCAAGCCCAATGTTAAAATTATTGTTAAATATTACTCTATATGTTTCATATCCTACTTTAACTGTTGGGTAAGCAAGTTTGAAAAGTTCAAACATTTTGGAGACATTCAGATTTTCAGATAAATAAATTTTTTTAGTTTTTCCAAGAGCATAATGAGACGACCTTCCTCTAAAAGAAGATATATGTTTTCGAATAGCTTCTCTGTCACTTTCTGATAACTTGTGCGGTCAATTTTTATGCTTTCCTCTACCGTCAATTGGAGGGTGACCTAAGGGAACAAAATTACAATCATTATTATATGAATCATAGTAATAAATATGGCCGTGGATAGCCTACCGAAAGTCGGTAGCGGAAAAATAAAAATTATCCTACCGAAAGTTTTTTTTATTGGTTGACAATATCACATGTCAAAATAAACAATATTTGTTATACCGTAAAATGAAGATAATTTAAGATATTATTTTTAAAAAATAAAAACGTAAAAAATGTAAAAAAATTAAATAGGATTTTCCGTTAAATAAATAGAAATGACTGCCACCCCATACCAAAACCCTCAGTCTATGCATGTACACTACACAGCGCCTATCCCTATATTAGTAAATGTATGTGCTCTTCACTGCACCTATCCCTAAGCTAGTAAATGTATGTACACTTCACTGCGCCTATCCCTAAATTAGTAAATGCGTGTACATTCCTCGGTGCCTATCCCTAAATCAGTCAGTGTATAAACACTCCATTGCGTCTATTAATGCATTGTGCTATTCCCAGCGTATGTACACTTCACTGCGCCTATCCCTAAATTAGTAAATGCATGTACATTCCTCGGTGCCTATCCCTAAATCAGTCAAAAATTATAAATTATATTTCTAAAAAGATCTACTAACCAGTTGTAGCAATTGATTTCCGTATTGATTCAATTCTAGATTTTGTTATTCCAAACAAAGACATCATAGCTTTAATGCAAACCGGTACTTCAACAGCTGCTTGTGCTCTTTGCACCCTAACGCTATAAGAATATGAAAAATTATGTAAATATTCTTTATCTTTTTCCTGTCGTGATCTTCATCTTTTGATATTGTGAATTTTTATTAATGTGGCTAAGTATGCGTCCTGATTTTCTTTAGATAAATATTCGTTAAAGTTTTTAATTAATTCGTTTCTTTCTTCAACAGTAACAACCTCAAAACATGCCAATCTTTTGCATTTGCAGTCTGTTGCACTAATGTGACTTGATAAAATGTGCATTTTTTTGCTATTTTTTAAATTAACATTAATCTTCCTTTTTCTTGATTTTTCTGTTACAACAGGACAATCGTTGCTCGCCATTATGCTTATTATGTTTTCTTTTCTTTTCCCGCATAATTCAACCAATTATTACGGATTCTAGTAACCACGTAATTTTTACAACATTTAAAACTACGGACATGTCTGTTTGTTCCAAACTTAACGCTGGACATCGCTGATTATTCCATTGGGATCTGTTTCATTTTATCCTCTTTAAAGAGGACTGGGATGTTTTTTTCATTAGTTTTTTAAAAAAATATATGAAATAAATCATACTTAATCGAAAAATAGTAATAACTCAATTTTTTTTAAAATGTGACATCGCTGGTTTTTCCACTGAGGTCTTCATATATATATATATATATATATATATATATATTATATATATATATATATATATATATATATATATATATATATATATATATATATATATATATATATATATATATATATATATATATATATATATATATATATATATATATATATATATATATATATATATATATATATATATATATATATATATATATAATATATATATATATATATATATATATATATATATATATATATATGTATATATAATATATATATATATATATATATATATAATATATATATATATATATATATATATATATAATATATATATATATATATATATATATATATATACATATATATATATATATATATATATATATATACATATATATATATATACATATATATATATACATATATATATATATATATATATATATATATATATATATATATATATATATATATATACATATATATATATATATATATATACATATATATATATACATATATATATATATACATATATATATATACATATACATATATATATATACATATATATATATATATATATATATATATATATATATATATATATATATATATATATATATATATATATATACATATATATATATATATATATACATATATATATATACATATATATATATATACATATATATATATACATATACATATATATATATACATATATATATATATATATATATATATATATACATATATATATATATATATATATATATATATATATATATATATATATATGTATATATATATATATATATATATATATATATATATATATATATATATATATATATATATATATGTATATATATATGTATATATATTTGACTTATTTAATAGGGCATCTTTTTGAATGGTTTTGAACTTTGAAAGGTGTTATAAATATCTTTTTTACCTTTATCCATTCTGTGGCTAGTCATAGTAGTATTTCATATAGTCATAGTAGTATTGCACTAATAATGCTTAATGCTGATGTACTCGACAAACCCATTCAAAATATTATTCACAACCGTATGAAAAAAATATGCTGCATTGATGTAAAAAAGCTAAATTAATAACACAGACACGACTTTGTCTAGAGTTAGCTCCTTTGCATAAGATTGCAAACAACCGTGCACATTGCAATTGCATAAACAACAACCAACTCAACTAATCAAACCAAAACAAAAACCTCACCTGTAAAACAGATGAGGCTTTTTGTTTTGGTTTTTTTGATATTTTTTAGCTTGAAATTCAGAAATGTTGATTAAGATTATAAATATTTTTTTTTTGTTCTTAAAATTTTTTTTAGATAATAAATTTTTTTTAACAAAAACTTCGCTCGACATAATCTTTTTATTAAATATACACATTTAGCCAAATTGCTCTCAAAGCTGCAGTTTAACACTGGATTTATGCGGAAAATGTGAGTGTAATCCGTCTTGTGCTGGGAGAAATCGACGTCAGCATAGCTGTAATTGCAGAAAAGGTAAAAAGAATCTTGTATAAGTACTCATTTTTACTTAATCAAAAATTAGGAAATTTTAGTAGAAATAAACAAGTATAAAAACGATAAAAAAAAAACAAAAACAAACAAAAAACCATAGACAGAAAGAAAAACCATAGACAGAACTAGAATTCTTTTTTTCTGTTTTTTGTTTTCATGCATTAATTTTTCCTCTCTTTTTTTGATATAATTATTTCATGCATTAAAAAAATGATGAAGAATATATGTTTACATAGTGAAGTAAATATAATAATAAATTTAATTAGCTTTTAAGTTTTAATACAATTAAGAATTCTTTCTTGTATCATCTGTATTAAATATAATGGTGAGTATGTGAAAATCGAGGTCGTTAGAGTTGAGATAATGATTATTTGGGAACGAGTAATAACCCTAGTAGCAGGCAACATTTGTGCAATATTGGCACAGTATACATCTCAATTATGGCTAAATATTGTTAACAATATTGCAACAATATTTGAATATTTAGGATATATATAGCCAATATTGATTAACAATATTGATTATATATAAACTGCAATATAATGCCAACATACTTTTTTTTAATATAGTCAATTTAAAAACGCATGGAGTTTAAAACAAATCATTTTAAATCGAATACAGTACATGCTTATTCAATATTAGTGCGTCGTAAAAACAAATAGAATTGCAAACAACCATTTAAAAACCAACATTAACAGTTAGAAGAAACATAGTTTATTAGGCACAAGAACAACTTTTGAAAAAACTTTGAAACGAGCAATAAAAGTGAAACGAGTCATAATAGTGAAACAAGTAATAATAGTGAAACTAGTTATAACTGCGAATACTAAACTAGTTCTAACTAGTATTCGTAATCATGCTGAGATAAATGCAATTAAGGTAACAGTAGTTAAGTTGAACATTAGGAAGCAGCAGGCTGCCACTAATGGTCCACTAAGTAAGCAATGAGCTAAACTCCAATGAACCGCTGAAAATAGATCAAATCAAATGCAAATCCACTAAACAAGGGTTACTGGGTTTTTAGATAGGAAAAAAGCAAAAAATGTTAGTTACAAATGCAAAAAATTTGTTATGCATAAAATTGAAGAACATAAGAGTATGAAAAGAGTGTGAATGAATGGATCTGGAATGGGGCGTGTTAATATTAAAAAATAATGACAAAAAATAAATTGAAGACTTACCAAAAATTGGAGAATTTTATGGAGAACCTAAATTTATGGAGAATCCAAATCTGATTTAAAAATTTAATTTTAAATCAGATTTTTTTTAAATTAAAAATTAAAAGTTTATATGGTTTGTATATATTTATTATTAGCTATAAAGCTATTATTAAAATGTTAAATAAAGTATTAAAAAGTTGTTAATTAGAAGTTTTATATATAAAACTAAAATATACAAATTTTGAAATAATTTGTAACAAAAAATTTTTCTTTGCCTCGCTTACCCAAATCTAAAAACACATAAAAAGAAAAATACGCAGAATGCAATATCTCAAGATAGGGTCATTTATTTGCTCCAATACTTTACAATAACATAGGTCCCATAATGATGTAGGAGTTGTACTAGAATCATCTACTGTATGTATATAGTTTAGGAGTAAAGGCAATTTTGCCTTATTGAACCAGCTGCGGGTGTCAGGTGGGGGACATATCTGGCATTATTTCATGAACTATTTTGTATTAGAACTTAATTCTAGTACAACTCCTGCATATGAGTATCATGAATACATCCTGAAAATTTCATTGTAATTGCACCTTTAGATCTTGAGATATTTAATTCTGCGTAATCGTGTATATTGAAAATATTCAAATGGCAAAAAACATGTTTTAAAAACAATAAACTTTCACAGTCAAATACCAACCACCAATAGAATAAGCTGGTAGTTTTTCTGATTCATTTTCAATGTCTGAGTAACCTTTTCTTATATTTTCAAGTATTTTTCTTTGTTGTATTCCTTTTTTTGATGATTTTCTCCTCATATTTCTGATTCGTTCATTGTTTTTTTTTTAATAAATCCTTTATTCATAAATTGTCCGACAGGAATTTTTAAACGTTCAAAAACTTTGCAAATACCAGTAGCTCCTTCATTAAACTGTAGTATTGCAGATGAAACTCCAATCTCCAAAACCTTTTTTCCAACAAAAATATTTTTAGAGCATTTTTTCCATATTATTGAATTCAAAGCTTCATTGTTGTTTTGGGTTTGTCCGTGTAAACATTTGGAAAGTAACTCATCACTTGAAAGATCATGAAAAATTGGGAGAAGAACAGTTTTGATTGACAATGGTTTATTCAATGTGGGTTTGTATTTGTTTTGATCATTAAATCTCTCTGTTTGCCACAAGCACCAACTGTTTTTGGATTGAGGGCAGAATTGATGGCGTTCGATGGGATTACTTATATTGCTATTATGAAATAACACAGCCCAAACAGATTTCTTCATTGGGTATAATAGTTTATTCTGCCTAATTGCCATTCCATAATAGTTTTGAAGTTTATTTATAACTTTATTTGTCAATCTTCCTGCCCCATTCAAAAACTAAGTGATTTCCATCACTTAGTTTTTTTCCCTTCATACTTTGAAGCAAACTGCGGCATTTGCTATGTACCATCAACTGAGACCTGGCAATTTGTAATGCTATTGTTATCAAAAGTATTGGTAGCAAGTAAACTCTTTGTTTCTAAAGCTGCATGCATTGCTCATGCTTTCTGAAGTTGCATTGTTATAAAAAGTATGTAATTTATTAATTGATATCCAGGAAATTATAATGGTGTCAGCATGTTCATAATGTTAGCAAATGTACGGATTCCCTGATAACCTTGACCAATCTCACGAAAAACTATAATCATTTGATAATTAATGCAGCTTACAGCTTTTCCTAAAGTAAGTTTATTTGTTTTCTGTGAGCTTTAAAATTCATATTTCCAGTCACAATTTGTGCAATTCAAACATATAAGATAAGAAAATCCCTTTTTTTTTTGAAATTGTTTGATAAAGTTACTGTTTTCTTACATTTAAGACAAAAAATAAATTTTACCAGCTCATTCTGAAGAATTGAAAAGTTTATTAAAATGTTATAATCATCGTTGTTACTAAATGAACTACTGTATTTTTTCTTTCTAAGTTTTCTTTCACTTGAACAAGGTTTTTCAATTTGCATGGTTTTATCATGTTTTTTGTAAATCTGTTACCTTTAAACTTCATCTTTTTCTTTGCTTTTAAAGACTTTAGCATTTTTAAAAACCAACTAATATACTTATTAAATGTTTTTATAATTCTAAATAAAATAAATAAATAAGGAACAGGACCAAACAATCAATTATTGTATTTATAGTTAGGTGTCTACTTCACTTTAAAAATTGAAACTTGCAGTCGTGATTTAATGAAAATAATGTGATTTTAGCTAATGGATTTAAGACATTTTATCAAAAAAAACTTATTTGTAAGATTCAATGCGACCCCCTGTTTAAAAACATAGATATATAACTAAATTTTTGGGCAAAACCAAATCTTGCTTGGCATTGCTAAGGCGTTGCTAAGCGATTAAAATTATACCTGGTTTTTTAAAAACATTATATCTCCTAATACTATTAAAAAAACACATCAAAGTTATACATATTTGAAACCAGCATTGAGTTTTACATATATTGAAATAAAAATCCCAAAATCGTTTTTTTTATAATTTTAATCCTTTAGTACCACCTTAAAATTCTTGACAACATTTAAACAATTTCATTTGATCCCATTTTACTCTACACATTTAATTTATATAGTTTTTCATTAAAAGATATTAAAAATTTCTTGCCTTTGTTTGAATAAAAAAAGATTCAAGTTGTCAGCAAACAATATAACATTAGAAACATTTGATGTTAAGCATTAGTCGTTTATGAACAGCAAGAACATTAGAATTATTCTTAATAGTTCATCTGTTTCCCTAAATTCAAATTCAAACTTTTCTTTCTGTCTTCTAATTGTTTGTTGCAGTTCTTCAGACGCTTTTTGCTTTAGCTATAGATAAAGTAATTGAATTTTTATTAATTGATTGTTTTGTAAATTATTGTAAGTACAAATAGTTTTATAAATATATTTTTTATTTTTTATTTCCTAATATAAGTAAAATATAAATACTCGTATGCAAAAATTTCATTTTGAATTTAATTAGATTTTGTTATTTGTAGGTTGAAACAGGCATATTTGTGATATAAATAAAATTAATTTAACTTTGGAGTTTAATTAATTTTTCTTTATTAACTAATTACAAAATAAAAAAATAACTAATTAAAAAAATCCTACTTCTTTCTTCAATCTTTATTTTCCAATTCTATGTAGCTTTTTGTTTTCTTTCAAGTCAGCTAATCCAATTTGATGTGGACTGGTAGTCCCTATTTTAGCTCTTTGCCTAAGTATAAAAACTAACTCTTTCTTTGGAATCTTTTTCTTCTTTTCGCACGTACAGTTAATATGGGCTTCATCGTTACAATCTGAAAAAAAAATTTTCTCTTGACAAGTAATAATTTGGCAATTACAATTCAGTATATCAAACAATTTGTCAAGTTTTGCCAAAAATCTATTTTTATTCTTTAAGCTTGCTTTTCCCCTAACAACCAGTTTGGCTGTATTCCATTTATTCACCAATGTTGCAGTAAAATAATATTCAATATGTGTTACAGGATATACAAATAAAGCATTGGATTAGATCCACTTACTAATCAACTTAAACATTGTTCATTAGTGATTTTATCGGATAATTTCTTTTTTTCTATTGTTTCTTTTTTGCAAAAACAGACATATCTAAAAAGATCTCTTAGCGTTGGTAACTCTGATACAAGAATATTTGTTCCAGAACCTATATATTCCGAAAGCTTTGATCCGCTTTTTTTTCTAGTTCTTGAAGATATTGACTCTGCCATGATTAAATAGCAAAGTTCATAATTTGCAAACTTTTTGCGTAAGTTTTTTAACGTTTAAAATTTTTTATAAT